GTTGTTCCCCTCTATGTGCCATGCATTCTCATCATTTAGCTCTCACTGATAAGTGAGAACATAGGTATTTGTTTTTCTGTTTCTGTGTTAGTTTGCTAAGGATAATGGCCTCCAGCTCTATTCATATTCCTACAAAGGATGTTATCTCGTTCTTTTTATGGCTGCAAAGTATTTCGTGGTATATGTATACCACATTTTCTTTATCCAGTCTATCACTGGATGGGCATTTAGGTTGATCCTATATCTTTGCTGTTGTGAACAGTGCTATACTTTCTGTTGATGAACATTTAGGTTACCTCCAAATCTTGGCTATTGTAAACAGTGCTGCAACAAACATGAAAGTACAGATATGATCCAATGCACTGATTTTCTTTCTTTTGGGTATATACCCACCAGTGGGATTTCTGGATCATATGGTAGCTCTATTTTTAGTTTCTTGAGAAACGTCCAAAATGTTCTTTATAGTGGTTGTACTAATTACTTTCTCATTTACAGTGTACAAAAGTTCCTTTGCTCCACATGTTCACCAGCATTTGTTATTGCCTGTCTTTGGATAAAAGCCATTTAAACATGGGTGAGATAATATGTCATTGTAGTTTTGATCTGCATTTCTCTGATCAGTGATGTTGAGCACCTTTTCATAAACCAGTTTGCCATTTCTATGTTGTCTTTCAAGAAATGTCTATTCAGATGTTTTGCCATTTTTAAATTGGAATATAGGAAAGTTTTAATTGTTTGAGCTCCTTGTATATTCTGGGTTAGTCCCTTTTCAGATGGAGAGTTTGTAAATATTCTCTGCCATTCTAGGAGTTGTCACTTCACTTTGTTGATTGTTTTCTTTGCTGTGCAGAAGCTTTTTAACCTGTGATCCTGTTTGTCCATTTTTTTTTTGCTTTGGTGCTTGTGGAGTATTACTCAAGAAATCTTTCACCAATCAATGTCCTGGAGAATTTCCCCCAAATGTTTTCTTTTAGTAGTTTCACACATTGAGGGCATATATTTAAACATTAAATCAATTTTGATTTTATTTTGGTATATGGCAAGAGATGGGGATCTAATTTCATTTCTCTCCCTATGGATATATAGTTTTCTCAGCACCACTGGTTGAAGAGACTGTTCTTTACCCAATGTATGTTCTTGGCAACTTTGCTGAAAATGAGTTCACGGTAGATGTATATACATTTGTTTCTGGGTTCTCTATTCTGTTCCATTAGTCTATGTATCTGCTTTCATGGTAGTGCCATGCTGTTTTGGTTACACTATCTCTGTACTATAATTTGAAGTCAAATAATGTGATTCCTCCATTTTTTTTAATTATTAAAAAGGAAGTTTAATTGACTCACAGCTCCAGGTTTGTTCTTTTTGCTCAGGATAGTTTTGGCTATTCTGGGTCTTTTGTGGTATCATATAAATTTTAGGATTATGTTTTTATTTCTGTGAAGAATGTCATTGGTATTTTGATAGGAATTGCATTGAATCTCTGTAGATTGCTTTGATTAGTATGAACATTTTAACAATATTAATTCTTGTAATCCATGAATGTGGAATAACTCTCCTTTTTTTGTGTCCTCTTCAATTTCTTGTATTAATGTTTTCTAGTTTTTATTACAGAGATCTTTCACTTCTTTGATTAAGTTTATTCCTGGGTATTTTATTTGTAGCTAAATGGGATTACTTTCTGTGTTAGGCCATTCTTGAATTGCTATAAATGAATATGCAAGACTGGATAATTTATAAAGAAAAGAAGTTTAATTAACTCATTGTTTTATAGTCTGTATAAGCATGGTGCCAGCAACTGATCAGCTTCTGCAGATAACTAAGGGAGCTTTTACTCATGGCAGAATGTGAAACAGGAGCAGACACATTCACAACATGGCAGAAGCAAGAGAGAGGTGTGGGGAGCCACACAGTTTTAAACAATCAGATCTCAAGATAACTCACTATTACAAGGACAGCACCAAGCTAAGAGGCATCCATCCTCATCGATCCCCAGGATGTTGAACCATCCTAATATCCCTGTGATAAATCCCATTTAGTTATGGTGAATAATCTTTATAATGTGCTGTCTAATTCAGTTTGCTAGTATTTTTTCAAGGATTTTTGCTTCAATGCTCATCAGGAATATCAGCCTGTACTTCTCTTTTTTGTTGTTATTGTTCTGTCCTTGTCTGGTTTTGGTATCAGGGAAATACTGACTTTTTAGAATAAGTTTGGAAGTATTTCCCTTTCCTCTGTTTTTCAAAATAGTTTGAGTAGGATTGGCACTAGTTCTTTAAATGTTTGATGGAATTCAGCAGTGAAGCCATCAGTTTTCTGTGCTAGGAGATTTTTTTTTAAGGCTTTGAGCTCACTACTTGTTTTTGTGCTATTCAGATCTTGGATTTCTTCATGGTTCAACCTTGGTAGGTTGTATGTGTCTAGAAATGTATCCATTTCTTCTAGATTTTTCCAATTTATTGGCATATAGTTGCTTGTAGTAGCCACTAATGGTCCCTTGAATTTTTGTGGTACCAGTTGTTGTAATGTCTCCTTTTTAATCTTTATTTTTATTTATTTGGGGCTTCTCTCTCTTTTTCTTTGTCTGGCTAAAGGTTTGTCAATTTTGTTTATCTTTTCAAAAAAAAAAACCCTTTATTTATCTTTTGTATTTTTTTCCATTTATTTCTGCTCTGATCTTCAGTATTACTTCTACTAATTTGGGGTTTGGCTTGCTCTTGCTTTTCTAGTTCTTTAAGATGCATTATTAGATTATCCATTTAAAGTTTTTCTACTTTTCTGATGTAGGCACTTAATTACTATAAACTTCCCTCTAAGTACTGATTTTTCTATTTCCCATAGGTTTTGATATGTTGTGTTTCTATTTTAATTTGTTTCAGAAAATTTTTAGTTTCCTTCTTAATGTCTTCATTGACCCACTGGTGATTCAGGAGCATATTACTTAATTTCCATGTGTTCATATAGCTTATAAAATTCTTCTCATTACTGATTTCTAATTTTATTCCATTGTGGTCAAAAAAGATACTTGAGATGATTTCAAGTTTTTTCAAATGTTTTAAGACTTGTTTTGTGGCCTAGCATTCCTTGAGAATGTTCAATGTGCTGAGAAGAATGTGTATTTTGCAGCTGTTGGATGAAATGTTCTGTAACAATCTATTAGGCCTATTTGGTTGACAGTGGAGATTAAGTCTAATGTTACTTCGTTGATTTTCTTTCTGGATGATCTGGTCTACCCTGAAACTGAGATGAAGGAGTCTCCAGTTATTATTGTATTTAACTCTAATAATACTTGCTTTACATATCTGGGTACTCCAGTGTTGGATGCATATCTACTTAAAATGATTATACCCTCTTGCTGAACTGACCCCTTTGTCATTACACAGTGACTTTGTTTCTTTTTAAAGTTTGTGTCTTGAAATCTATTTTGTCTGATACAAGTATAGCTATTCCTGGCCTTTTTTGGCTTCCACTGCATGGAGTATCTTTTTCCATTTCTTTATTTTCAGCCTATGTGTGTTTTTATAGGTGAAATTTGTTGCCTGTAGGCCGCAGATTGTTGGGTCAAGGATGGTCTATATCCTGATATTAGTTGTTACAATTATATACATTTCCTTCTAGTTCCAGTCAAAAACTGAATTTTTAGTACATCATAATAATATAAAATCGTGGTACCTGGAACACAATTTTATCCTCTAAGTAACCTCTTGGCAAAATGTATCCTCTAGATGTGCTATGAGCAAGTTAGAGAAGTATGGCCTGTCCCTGAGGTATTTTGTTTCTCTTGTTTTGCATTTATTTGTTCTCACATAGAACTAGATTTCATTAATGGTAGTAATACTGCATTAGATGATATCGAAGTTCAACTTTCCATCATATTCCCATTAACCATGGCAGTTCTAGTTAATTCCATGTTCTCACGAAGTATGCTGTTTTTACAAATATAAACTTAATTTGAACTATTATAGAATTGCTAACATTATAATACTGCTAATAATTATAATGGAAACTGCTATAATCTCTTATAATTGTTACATTATGGTTAGCATGCTGAACCACAATCATCTGCTAGATCATGAATAATAAAAAATTAGATTGTATGTACAGCTATTATTTTGCCTTTGAGAAGCAATTTTGTAATATATGAAGTTTATTTGAATATGCACTTTAGCAGCAATGTACTGTGCAATGGGCTTTAAATACCATTATCTCTAGGACCTTCAGGAATACTGTAAATTCTAGAGCATTCTTAAATACAATATTTTATTTTTAATGTACAAAAGTAAACTTTTTATGAAAGAGCATTTTCTCTCAGAAAGATCTAAACTAGAGGAGCTGATTTCATATCAAGACTGTAGTCTTGCCCAAACACTTTGCTTTAGAAAGTGCTGGAGGCTGTGAAAGATGTGAAAACCAGGCTTCACTAAGTTTTAAAACTGACATTCCCTTCACCTGCCAGGAGCATCAACTTCTCCCTCTGGTGACTTTGGTTTTCAGCATGAATAAAGACAGTGTTTTTTCTTGTCAGTAACAGAAGAATACTGTTTATAGGAGTTCCTCCTCTTATATATTGTGTTTGAATGCTAGAAAATGAGTTGTCTATTCCAGGTTTCAGGCATAAAAGTAGCTACTAGAGGAAATTACCAGCACAAAGTTTTGTTTTATGTGGTAGCAAATTCATATTCATATAAATTTATATTTAAAGTTGTGATACAATAGTGAACTGGTACCTGTTTAAATGATTGCAAGCAACTTAAAAATGTACATTAACTATGGCAATAATACAAGCTAAGTACAGTAGAAGTGAAATAAGATCAACTTTATTTACAATCACTTCAAATCTCCAATTAGAATTAGAATGGTGGATTATAAACCCTTAGTTTTTCTATCAGCTTTGACATTGCAGAACAGATTTGTGAGCTCTTAAAGGGTAGGCCCAACTAATGGAAGTGGTTCACTACCAAAGAGGACCTCAGGAAAAAAAAAAAAAAAAAAAAAAAGCTTCCCTCAGAGCTTTCGTGCCACCATCGTTCCCCTACAGAAGCCTAGAAAATGATGCAAACTTTCTTTTTTGGGAAAAAAGAAGACATCCTGTTTGTGAAAATAGTGTCTGGTCTTATGATTTCACAATCGAGTCAACAAACACTCCTTGAATGCTGCTATTCTATGTTATGCACAATGCCAAAACCTGACCCCAAATTTAAATAAGCCACAATTGTTGATCTCAAAGATTTCAGTCAATTAAGGGAGGTGAGACCTTTAGAACTAACTAAAACAAAAGTGGTGACAATGTTTGAAAAAGCAAAAATGTGTGTGTATGGCATCACAAATTACCTCATCAGCCCTCACGTATTTAAAGGCTTTTTCCTTCTTCATATGGTTTTTATGTTAACTGGAGAATTTATATGCTGTGCTGGAGAAAAAAAAAAATTAAGACACAGTTACACAAAACTAGCAACATCTCCTTTGCCAATAACAAACCCAGGTAATTTTAGTTCCTGATAAATTATGCAAAAGAAAATTGATAGAAAGTAGTATGAAGCAAAGATGTGAATAATGCAAAGTAGCTCAAGGAGATGAAAATGGGAACAGGTTATTCATACTTCAAATGGGAATGCTAGCAATGATGGCTTTGGGCTCTTGCCATTTCCTTTAGACTAGAGATTACAAGATGATTGTAAGTACCAGAAGTATAAATTACTTGTATACAGATTTCTCCTTTTCATCCTACATTGAATAAAAGATAAACTAAGCCAACTGAAAGTGGGTGTTTTAGAATCTCCGACTCTGCTTTCTTTTATCTGGTCTTGTCACGGTTGACTGTTACTAGCCACGTTCTTTCAAATTGCTGATTGGGCAGCTTCTCTAGACCCTTCTTCTGAAGTCTAATATGTCTTTTTTTTTTTTTTTTACTCCCTATCTTGTGATGTGTGGGTGGGACTGGGACATTACCAACACAATTAGAACTTCATTTCTTTTTTTTTTTTTTTTTTGAGAAATTGATTTATCAGGAGCCATCCCAAATTAAGCATAAGAATAGAATGCTACATAAAATAAATTCTAGAATTCTTAATGGACACCCAGGGGAATGCCATTTGGAATAATTAATCAAAATACAATTTCCTATAATCCATTTTATAGATGAATTCCAAAGAGGACTTATGCTGGTTTTTGTTTCAACTGTGACATGAAACAGACATTTATTCCCTTGGAGGATTCAGGGTTGCTGTTCAAGTCAGAGGTTTTAAAAGTACAAACACCCTGACAAACTGTACGATAAAAGTCATTGAATCTTACAAGATACTTCGTCTGTAATGTACAACATATTTTGTCCATTATGTACGAAATACATTATCCATAATACGTAGATAACTGACTCCAAATTCAACATTGCTTTGCATATGTCAACAATACAGCAAGTATTATTATTTTCATTTATGAAAAAATAGGCTTTTGAAAAGTAACTACAAGTAAAAATAACAGAGCTGTTCCTATAATGGGTTATCTGGTATCCTCTCAAAATTCACGTTCACTGGAACATCAGAATGTGAACTCATTTGGAAATAGGGTTTTTTGCAGATGTGATTAGTTAGCATGAGGTCATACTGACTTAGGGTGGACCCTTAATCCAGTGACTTGTGTCCTTATAAGAGAAAAGGACAAAGAGGAAAATGTCATGTGAAGGTGCAGGCAAAGACTAGAGCATCCACCAGAAACTACAAAAGATGCCTCCATCGGATTCTCCCTCAGAGCCTCTAGAAGGAACCAACCCTGCTTATACCTTGATTTTGAACTTCTAGCCTCCAAGAGGGTAAAATAATAATTTTTTTTTCCTAAGGCACCCAGTTTTTTCATAGCAATTGTTATGTCAGCCATAGAAAACTAATAAGGTTCCAAATTACTTTTATTAATCCACATTTCCCAAACCTCATTAATACCTGGGTAGGTAAACGGTCACACAATAACTCAAATTTAATTGGATCTTGCTCATACTTTCTGATGCAAGATACCCAGGCCCTGTGAAAATATTTTAAATTTTTCAAAATGTTTCAGGTACTTCAAAATATTCCAATATTTGCGGCCTTTCTTGAAACTAGGTGTTTGCGGGTATACCCAGGGAGAATTTTCTAGGTATTCATAAATAAATCTGGTTCTAATAGACTTGCCATGACTTTTGTGGGTACTACCTTCTGCCTGGTACTGTCACTGAAAAACTGAAGAATACACAATGCTACATTTTCAAAGGTATTTGTGACACAAAGGGATGTCAGCCTTTCAAACCCTTCTTTGTCACAATGGAGATAAAGGGGTCCTAAACCATTATGGAATTTATTAAAACAGCCTTTCAATTATTGGTTTTTTTTTGTTCTT